TCCGGGTGAGCGCCACCTCTGCCACCCCTACCGACGCCGCCCCATATAGAAGAGATTGGCTGGCTGCAGGTCCCATTATCCGCCTGCAGGGCTCCCTAGGGCTTTCCCCCACAAGTTTCACGCCAGGTTGGCGGCCGCTGGGACCCACATGGGTGACCCCCGGTTAATACCCGAGTCCCAGCGGTCGCCAACCCAGAGAAACCCACAGCCCGCCGTACTTACTAAGGTAACCTACCCCCAGTAGGTTATCTTGGGGAGGCAAATATACATATATATGTATATATATATAGAGAGAGAGAGAGATGCTTGTGTGTGTGTGTGTGTGTGTTAGATAAAAGTTATACATATACATATATATGTATATGAATATATTTTGCATATATACATATGTGTGTGTTTGTGTGCGTGTGTATGTATGTATGTGTGTGTGTGTGTGTGTGTGTGTGTGCGCGTGTGTGACTGTGTGTGTATGCATGTGTGTGCGTGTGTGTGTGTGTGTGTGTGTGTGTGTGTGTGTGTGTGTGTGCGTGCGTGTGTGTGTGCGTGTGCGTTTGTGTGTGTGTGTGTGTGTGTGTGCGTGCGTGTATACTGTGCATTATATCAGTATTATATGCCTGCGTGGCCCCCACGTGGAGGCTTGCAGTGACCACGTGGCGCCCACGCGGCCTACCAAAGCGGCGTGCCCACAACTGCTGGGCGGTTCTCCTCGCCCCCCCAAGCCAGCGTCTCGGATACTTAAGGCCGCGTTTTGACCCGGTCAAGGCAGAGTGTAACCCGGCGCGGTCAAGGTCACTGGGCCGGTCTGCCGTTGAGGTGGGCTCACCGGTGACCCCAAGTTTTAAGCCACCAAGCTTTTACTACTCCCTGTCACCAATGTAGAGAGGCCCTTATAAACCCTTACAGCGTGTGTGAGTGTTAGAAAAAATATAGACAGACATATATGAATTGTGAGATTTAACACTAAATACATAGGTAAATATACATTTTAGAAATTCAATACAACAATAAAAAATCAACAATAGCCTAGTACAGTGACGTGCGCGTGTCATAGTTAAGAATACACATAGTCTTGTTTGTCTGTCTGTTTCTCTGCACACGTTTACGGGACCAAGGAGACATACCGATAGTTTGTTTAATACTGTATATTTAAAGCACTCGTATACGTATACACGCATACAGGTGGAGGTACCTGTTACATAGTGGACCCTATGGGTATCTTTCTTATGTGCAGATTCAAATAGATTTAGCATCTAATCACTGACTCAGAGAAGTATATATATATATATATATATATATATATATATATATATATATATATATATATATGTGTGTGTGTGTGTGTGTGTGTGTGTGTATATATATATGTATACATACATACATTTGTATATATATGTATATATATGTATATATATACATACATATGTATATATATGTATATATATATACATATGTATATATATGTATATATATATATACATACACACATACACACACACATATATATGTATATATAAGTGTATATATAAACGTATATATATAAAAACACATATATATATATATAAAAACACATATATATATGTGCATGCACACACACACACATACACACATATATATGTGTGTGTGTGTGTGTGCAAGCGTATAATATACATACATACACATACACTCTCTCTCTCTCACACACACACATATATATGTGTGTGTGTGTGTGTGTATGCATGTATATATGTATATATATGTATATATATACTCATATACATATATCCATTTATATATATAACCCTTTTCCTTTACATCTTACATTGGATCCTTTCTATGTGGTGGTTTGGTTGGCCTGACAGACGTACTCTAGTGCATTGGAACAATGTGCATCATCCATCGCGTATGAAGGTTGCATGAGGCCGCACATGGTTGCATCGATGGCTCCGTTGGGCTCCCCGCTGTTCCACACGTCGACCGCCGCACGCCCATCCACCCAGCTTCGAGCGATGATTCCCACCCACTTGTAGTCTTGAAGGTCAGGGGATTGTTAATGGGGGTGTCCAGTTATTGACTACAGTAGAAATCGCCTAAGTCGAAGTCGCACTAGTCGGATAATCGCGCAACTGGTATGAGTGTCATAGGTCCCGATTTTCCCTAACGTTATTTCCATTAAATTTAGTCGCATATCTCGGAGACTACAAGTCGGATTCTCGTACAACTTGGATGGAATTTCCAGTCCCGATGCATTTCCGTTAAAATCACATTGTGTAAGTCGGATGAGGTTTGGCTTTACATCAATACTATAAAACATAGCCTACGCCAGCGCCAATACCGTGTCATACGCTCATTGGATCACAGACTGTTCAAGACATCTACGGTAAGTGACCTTAATTATTAGTAGCGCCGGAGTACGAAAGGCGTACGAGACAGATAGCCGCCACGCGCCACCAATCATAATTTTTGTGGAATATTTGGCCAATGACAACTACGCATTCGGCGCCAGTTGGTTTGTTCTATCTTATTTTCTCTAAGTCTGATAAAATTCACTGGTCCTTTTTCATCCGACTTAGGCGATTTCTACTGTATATGTTTAATCATCAATATATTCGCTTATTGTCAATTCATATTCTTATTGTATCACTTGCCAGCGCCTATTATGTACAGTATCACACATTTGCAAAGCGCCAACCACATTCAAAACTTACTGCGAAGAACTGCAGTGTAATAGTAACTCTTGAGAGTGAAAAACTGCTCGGGGGTCGAAGCAACGAACAAATCGGCGCCATACGTGTAGCAGTCCTCCCGGGATGCATTCCAGGTCCTCTTGGTTGAGGACATGTAGATGCAGCCCAGGTCCTCCATCATCGGAATGACAGCAAAGGGGGAGCTGCAGGCTGGAGGTGACACAGAGTGGTTCAGTGAGCTTGGTTTGCAGGGAAGTTCATTTGAACGACTGAAACTACTAAAACCTGGTGAAACTGGTCAATAAACAACATGAACCACGCCTTCCACACTCTAAACTAGGGGTTCCCAACCTGGAGTACATGTACCCCCAGTGGTACATTTGCACTTTTCAGGGGGTACATTAGATCTGAGAGAATAACCACAACTACAATACGAGTACATGATGTTATAATCTGCATTCACACTACACAATATATATATATTCTTCCTCATTTTAGTAAGCAAAGCTTTTCCTTAAGTTATATCAAGAGTAGGGTGAATACTAACAGCGTTTATGTTATGAATCTGAACATTTTACAAATTACTTGAGTTTAGTTTTTTTACGTTATCACCACTCTCTGTGGAAACCTGGAGGCCAGATACTCACCACTTAGGGGAGGAGCGTTCGTCTTGCAGTTGCCAGTGGAAGGAAATATCGACGGCGGAAAGACGATATCGTACAATCTACACACGTCGTCGATGTAGCAGTAGAAGGTGCACCAAGACCGCTTGCTGGCCTCCACGGCGCACAGCAATTCGCTCCCCGGTGAGATCTCCTCCGTGGCCGTGGATGTCACTCCGTCGCGGACGTTGGCTGCCTGCCACATGACTCCTGTAGACGTGTGCTCCTCAGCGCCAACTGCAGCCCAGGAAGTCAGCAACAGGAAGCTGACCAGCTGCTGTGGCTTCATTTTAATCTGATCTGTCAGAAAACATAACGGGGTCATATGATATCTAGTCTGTGTCAATAATTTCTTTCTAGTCTCCTTTTGTAGCAACATTTGCAATGGCACCACGAAACGGGAAATGGTCTGATTTCACTTCTGCATTCTTTGAGTAACTTACTAATCATACAATATCCGCGGGCTTTCACCTTTCCATATATTAAAGACGACATAATAATCTCGCGACTTCGCAGAATTTTCCTAAATCAACTTTATGATTTTACCTATTTTTATAAGCCTGCTTTGCTTATCTTTACGTAAGATTGCAATAACACTTTCGTATGTTTGTGTGTGTGCGTTTCCTTAGGCCCTGTGACCCGCTATCTATAGTTTCTTAGAATAAAATTTAAAAAAAGCGGAGGGGGGAATCTAATGCTAAATTTTAAACACGAGAAAGACACAGACAAACCTGAAAAAAATCTTGATTTCATTTCATAATCAAAGTAGATAAACTGTAATAGCAAGACCAACAACATTGGAAAAAATAATGCAAAACTTATTATATACATTTACACACGCACACACACACACATATGTGTATATATAATGTGCATGTATTGTTTAAGATAATAAGTTTTTCTTTCTTGTAAAATTATCTCGTCATTTGTGATCTGCACAAGTACGAGTTCTGTAAAGGGCGACGGATGTAGGTTTCTCGTCCACTGCAGTTAAGAAAGGATTGTCTTGAGAAGACAATGTAATTGGTGAATTGAATTAATGAAAATCCAGCGGTGAATTTTGGAAGCGAAAGAGGGACAGACCCGCAAGAAAAAGCTAATTGGAAAAATAATTTCTTAAACTCAAAAAAAAAAAAATAAATAAAAAAAATAAAAAATAAAAATAAATAAATAAATAAATAAAAAGAGAGAGAAAAAGGGGGCTATGGAAAGTAAACTCACTCATCTATACGCACAAATAAACATACCTTAGATATATTATACAATGGGAGATAACCTGACAGGGTAACCCAACGTTGTTCCTGCTAAGCCGTGCTAAGGTCGACTCAGCGAGGCAGGATGAGCCTGTACGCACTGATGGCCGTGGAAAAAGTGATTGGAATTTCGGAGGGCCAGTAAGCAAGATTAATTATTAGTTCAGCGACAAAAAAAAGACGCTCGACTCCGCGGAAGCCATGAATTAGACACGACTGTGTGCCGCCCCAGCTGGTGTGATTTATAGTGTGTTAAGACTGGGATTTCGAGGTCAAGATTGCAGTTGCAATATCGAGCAAGATGCAGGACCGGACGCTAGGTTTCCTTCTATAGATTTTTAATTTTTATTTTCATTTATCTTATTTTCATTTTTTTTCAAATCTCGCTTGTCATTTGTTTAACTTACCTGTCCTCAGTCTCG